CAACGTGGTTCTGCGTAACTGCCCCAACTTAGAGGAGTTGGCCCTCTGTAGCCTTGATGTCGACGTTGGACTCAATTTTGGCTGGTACCAAGTGAACAAATTACCTCTTCCAGCGCTGGACTCTGACTGAAATGAGATTGACAGGCTGGTGAAAAGATCGAGCGATGTTCAGATCGCCCCTTGTGTTCGCCATCTGCGACTTGGTCTACGGCCTCGATTCCAATTCGGTTGGGAAGAAGACCAAGCAGCGGCCAGAATTGACAGTATCGCCTATATGCTGAAGGTAAACCACAACCTGGAATACCTTGACGTAATTCTACCAGAGGATTATTCTGTGGACAAGTTGAGCGGAGCCCCGCAAGCGGGGCTCTTTACATAGGTTTAAGCCGAGCACGTGGGGCCGCCCGCCTCGCTTCGCTCGGCGGGAGTTTGCCAGATTCTTGATAGGTTGATCATGCTTGTTTCAAAATCTAAATCTAAATGAGATTCTGGAATTCAGATTACAACTAAAAGATCTAACTGACGGCAACCATATTGAACGCGTGCGAACCCCGATAAATTACTTGACCACCAGGGTAGGTTCGGATGGGTGTAAAGCCCCTCAAGCGCGTACATATTCAAAGCCTAGATTCTTCACAGATATCACATCTTGTGTCATTTGAACTCGATCTTATTTGTATGTCTGAAGCCCCGTAGTATAGTGAATATTGGCAGAAGCCTAAAACTACGGAAGTCCCAATTGCAACCAACTCTCAGTCACGGCATTACGTATAATTACAATGTAGATGGGACTAATATCACAATTCAATAACCTTACAGTAAAACATAGGGGCAGATCCGGGTACCCGAAATGCATCATGGGGTATGTGAGGATGTCCCAAGCCCAGGCGCTCAATCTGGATGGTGACGGATCGTCCGGGGACTTGTCTTGGACTGCTCGAGCCGACAACTGCGCCATCACCGCACATTAAACTTGTTGGGCGGGATTATAATATGCGCTCTAACGCCGACTTACCTGCGAAACTGCCCGGTAAGTGTATAGCTGGTGGACCAATTATACACTTTCATAAAACATTTTCGGCATTGCAGACTCTACAGCGTTTGCTGAGTGATAGGAATCGGTCCATGTATTACTTGCTGCCCCAGAACTTTAATATATGTATGAGTGATCCAAAACAAAACAAAAAGCTCTCAAGTGGACTACTGTAAAACCTCTAATTGTGCTCCGCCCTCAATTAGCGGGAGTTCCTGAATAATACCCCGGTACAATTTATTAGTTTCCTCCCATTTCAAACAAAATCAGATGGGGACCCGGGGGGTGGACCCGGGGGGGTTCGCAGTTCGAAGCTAGCTTGTATAGTGTATAGATACTTGTAGAGGGAAACGATGCATTCGGGCACCTCCTGCGCCTGCTTCACCGCCGCAGCATCTGCCTAATCTACCACTGTACAACCAAGTTTGATTGTTCCTTTTCAAAAGGTATTGCCCGTCTATATATCGTCACTCCGATGGATTAAACATCAACGCAGAGTTAGTTGAGTTGGTACTTCAACGCTTTGGGCTCCTCCTGCTCGTCGGATCAAGATTTCACGGATTTAGTTTTAACTTTAGTATTGCGATTGGACACTTCGCAGTCTAGTTGTGTGACTCCGTATCAAGGCACACGCGACTGTGGAGTTGTTGGCAAGGGTGTACAATTGCAACGGAATGCTGTAATGTGATTGGTCAGTTTGCCGGATTTGGTGATTGTGATTGGCCGAAGAGGAGATCAAGTTGAAGTTGCCGTTTTCATGGGATCTGCAACAATCGACATTTTCCCTGTGCACCCCTGACAGAACATGGTTGAGTTAGAAGCTTGGATTTCGTGTACTCGTTGGTAAGATATGATTGGACAGACTCTATAAGATAGTTTTGCTAAACTCAATCTAATTCACTTTCGGATTTCCTTCCTAACCAACACTCGACTACCAAGCCTCGCCCGCATAATCTCAATTTTTAGTTATTTTGTAGTTAGCAGAACGATCATCGACGACTAGCTAATCAACGTAATTTTCTTCCTTCCAGCCACTGAAATTGCGCTGATGGCTAGGCAGAATTTTTTGCCGTTTTATGCTCGGAAACTTACCGGGGGCGACAAAAGAAGAAAACCCCGTGCATTTGAAGATTTTAGCGCTGCCAGGCTAACTGCTCAGCTGAACTTGCTGGGTAAACGGATGAAGCCAGCAATTTGTTTCAAGTTTGATAAGTCAAAACTGAGGTCTAGCAGATATCGATCGCGAGTAGGAGTAGGATACACCGGGGTTTGTCCTTCGCTTTGATGCTGTCCGCTCGGGCTTCCTCTCTCGCAGGAATCCGGGGCGTACAGCGACGACGTAGCTTAGAAGCATTCAATGTGTGATACAACATGGCGCAGTCGCACACATATTTCGTTCGGGTCGCCTGAATATCAACCCGTGTCGGCTTCGATTCGTCCAAGTGTGTTATTGCCATTTATCAAGTATTTAGCTGACCGTAACGTATTGATGTAGCATTAGGATGTTCTGCATTAACATCGGTAACGATGTGCTTCGAAGTTGTTTGACAAGTAGTGCATAATTGTATTGATACACCACCAGTAGTAAATCGGCGCGGAGGATCGTTACGGGTCGCAATATAGTCTCACACAAAGCAAGCATAATATCATTCAAAGGCTTCGTTGATAAGATGCCTGAGCGTGTGCAGCTAGCTTTTTAACGGACCCACACGAGCCATTCATAGCTCGATTAATTTGAACTAGGCTTCTTCCAGTTTCATACACGGTCGTCATTCGTTTTGCACTAGCTTCTAGCCTTTTCTCCGGAGAAGACATACCATCAGGTGCAGCTCTATTTGGCTCTCCGCGAGATAGAGTTGCGTTGGATACAAAATCGTTGAACGGAAAACTCAGGCTATACCTCCCATTTTGGATCACATATCGTTAAAAAAATTGAAGTAGTTTTTGGCGAAGTCTTAGTATAATGTTCAATATAATACACCTAGACGCATTTCAATACGTGTGGGAATTCACACAATACCAGCCTGTCAACAATGTATGCCACGAAAATTGCATAAGAGTTTCAGTTAATCTCTCTGATTAATCATGCATACAGAAGAAAATCGATCGCAAGGTGAAGTCATCTTCTCATGTGTCTAAAAGAGGAGGGTACAATAAAAGTTATGACTCATGACAAAATGAAAGATCGAATTGACAGTTTAAGACTTGCTAGCTGGTGCATAAGACCTGCTTGAGGCATCAGCATATCCACGGTCGGCATCTTGGAACTTATAGCCCAAACTTCTAGCCGAAGTAGGTGCTGTCAAACAGAGAGGAACACCATGTTGAATCTGCTAGACTCTGCGCTTTCTTTCGAGGGCTTACACGCGTCGGACACTTTGAAATTGTCGAAGCTAGAGGACTTTGCCTAGGAGTCTTAGGCTAGGACCTTGTTGTGTGAGTTTTGCTCTTTCTCGTGTAAATATGCATGGTTTTTGACCCTTATTGTACAGTCTTTCACTATAGTTGCAATTGTTTCCGCCCGGAGGAAGTAACTGCTAAGATTGGTTTCCTTGGATCTCGTTGCAACTGGAAATAAGGTTATCCTTATAGGGCTAACCCACCTATACTGCGTTGTTAGTGGTGTGGTCGACTCGAGATGAATAATATCAATACATGTTGAAGAATCATTATGTCCGAGAGAGAGAGAGAGAGAGAGCTGCAAACTCGAAAAGGAAGCCACGGTAAGGTCAGGGTTGACATCAATATGTCCGTCATACTGATGTCAACCCTGACTCAAACCTGATGGTAAAAAAATGCTCTGTCGAGATCTTATATGGAAGTGAAGGAGAGGGATAATCTCCAGCAGAGATAAAGTATACTGCCTACGTTCTCACCACTTTCCGTGTTACTTTGTATGTCATTCCTCTGAAGCCAGCAACTTTTAAATGAGGGGCATCTGGTTAGTGCTGGCCGTGAAGGGTGTCTCATTAAATAGTTTTCGAAGGGGTATCTCGTTAGGTTTCCCTAAGACCTCAATCTTACACAAAAAGCGGCACAAAGACTAAAAGGCGCAATACACGTCCACTCGGGGATACCAGCTGGCCACGAAAGGATTGCTAATGCGAGTGTTGCTAAAGCGCTGAGAAATAAACATTATTCTTGTTGTCCTGTTGCTACCCAATTGCCTACCATTATTCGTTTTCAAAAGTACAACTATTTTCAGCGTACTTTTGTGCGGAGATTAACCGAGACTTCCAGGGCTCGGCAACGGTGTAGTAGTGCACTGAAGGAAAATGTCAGGTTATCAAAATCGATCAGCAGAAGATTAGACAGCGGAGGACCGCAAAACTGAGCAAGCAATTGATGTAGCTTGCTATACAAAGCAGCTACGTCAAAGAACACAACAGTTACAGATAAAGCAAATCGAACAGACTATCAACACTGGCGGATAGCTCCAAGAAAGCACTTCAAACGATGTAAAACCCTCAAAATATCTCCCACATTCTGTCAGTGATCGCCAGGATATAGGGAAAATTCGGAAATTCCCGTATTGGTAGAGGTCTGCGCATGAAGCATGCGTATGAATTGTTGATACACAATCTCGATACACTCGCTTACTTCTAGCACTACAGGTCAACTAAATGACGTTTGACGACAAATTAAATGGTTTCTCAGTGTATCAGGCTGTTAAGCTTTCTTGTATGAAAAGGTTTCGATCGGCTCTGAGGGGGCATCGCGAAATTTTGTGTAGAGCTGCATGTTTATCGAAGGGAGCAAGCAGAGCTGGCGATGGGCGATAAACGGGTTTTCCTGGTGCAGAAGGTATTTCAAGTGGCCACAAATCCAGGAGGCCTACCAACACTCGTGCTACAGGAATAGACGCGGAGGGCGGTTAGCGTATGCAGGCGACCCCTTGGCATATTTGGTTCGCGGTGACAGCGAACAGAAGCCCGGGCTGCACAAGGTCACTCGCAGATGGAGAAAGATGGCATCGGAACCCGGCCCGGACGACGGAGGAGGGCAATTTGGCTGCCCTCAGCATTTGATCCTAGTATCCAAGTTCCACGACGAGCTGGAGTTTCCTGACGCCCCTGCAACCATGCAAATTACGACAACGACAAGCAGAAGACCATATTACTCAGGACGAAGAACGACTTATGCATTTTGGTGCAAACTGGCTGAGGTGGCTATTAAAACTACGATCGCCACCTCCAGCCACAATCCATCTAGCAGTACACTCACAAGCTCATCGGCAAAGGCAGCCACTACGACTACGAATGCGAGCTGTGACTTTCCTTCAACGCCTACACTATCAGCACCGGATTGTACTCTACGTGCAGCTTCGACGACTACGACTTCTAATCTGACGACTACGACATCAACGGCGACAAGCACGGGCACCGTCAACGGCCTTAAACTCAAGCTCGCTCGACTTCCACAACTACGGCTTGATCAGCGAGACCGGGCTTTACGTGCACTTCCGTTCCGTCGACGACTACGACTATAAATTCGACGGCGAGATGCGCTTGTGGGTACGGTCGTCTATTACGACGAACTACGCCGTCGGCGGCGGGCGGTACGATCTGCTCCACTTTCAACAACTACAACTCGGTTTCGATCGACTTCCACGACTCGGACATCAGCCGCGTATTGTACACGCCGCTTGTACACACCGCTCCGACTGCTTTCAACGGCTACCATCTTACTCTCGTCCACTACAACAACAATCTGAGCATCAGGCTGCACGCGCGGCTCTGCTAGCCTTTGGCGCTTAAGTATTTCGGGTCGTTCGGCTACTGCCACTGCAACTACGACCACGATATCATCGGCGTACCACTCCGTCCGCGTTAGACGGCTATAAACTCGGTGACTTCCGTCTCCTCCAACTACAATTTGACCAGCGGGTTGTGGGCACAATCCTGTTCGCGACCATGACTACGAATCCGGTGGCGAACCGCACGTGCAGTCTCGCCCGTCCACTACAACTTCGACTATCAGAGTTTGCCTCGGCGCCTGCGAACTCGGTCTCGCTCGACTTGTAAAACTACGACTCAAGCAGCAGGCTGTACGTGCAGTTCCGTCCGCTTTCGACAACCCCCAACTCGCTCTCGTTCGTCTACTACAACTTCGACTCGACCGGCGGGCTGTACGACAAAGAACACCTAGTCCATCGACTACTTGTACAACTAGACTATGAACTCAGCATCAAGTCATTCGTGCAGGCCGGTCGGGCCCCAATTCGGTCGAGTAAAGACCTTGATGAAGTCCTGGTGGGCGGGCCACGAGCTCGGCCGGGGAAAGATCTTGACGAAGTCCTGGTGGGCGGGCCACGAGCCCAGCTTGCTTTGTGGAAAGTGATGGTTGGCGTTGATATAAGGGAAGTTGCGGGGTGGCATCTGGGGCGCTTCATCCACCAGAACGCGATAATAATTTTGGGGCGTCTCGCTTACCTGGTTGATGAATTGGCGGACACGTTCGTGACTCGACGGTTCGTAAGGATCAAGACTGCTAGAGAAGAGCATGTTCATCCGCGGGGCCTCTGGAATCCACAAGACCCAAGAAGCCGACTCTAAGCAAACGCCGGTTGCACTCCCAGGCATTGGTGGACATGTAGTTCATACTGGTAATGGCTCAATTTTATGGGGTTGCCACTCGGCACCTTGCTCCTCAAGCAAGGAACCTCATGACTTTGAACCATAACCAAAATGAAAAACATTTTCCCCCAATGCCTGTATGCATCATTGGAAAACAATATTTAGTGTCGCCCCAAATTAGCAGCGAGGGAGCGCAGTGAACGAGGTGCTCAGCTAGTATAGTAAGCTGTGATGGGTCAGCATGTCGAGCAATTAATAGTTACTGCAGTACATGGAGATCCAATAATAAGTTATTCCGTACAATAAATACAAAAATAATTTATATTATATTATTTTTACCGGGCCCTGTTTTCCAGATAGTAGGTGCCGATATTCTTGTTGAGCTGTGGGCATTAGTCGAGGTCGTTGTACACGCTCAATCGATGTCGTCCGCGTGATACTGGTTCGCGCGAGAATGCCATGCAGGTGGGGTTTCAATAGTACAAAGTACCAGATATCGGAGCCGGCGATCAGAATCAAGAGGGCGATGGCGAAGGTCGAACCCGCGTGGCATCGTTATCAGCACAGATCCCTCAGCAGCTTCAAGTAACCGATGCACACACCAACGCAGCGAGCCGCACATCCGTAGACCATGCTTTTCATCGCGAGACGGAAATTCTTAAAACCTGTTGCAAAAATACTGAATGACCTGTTATCCCCAAATCTACTGAATTCCGGTTGCCATGGTCTGAATGCCTGTTGCGTTGGTTAGGTGAGATTGGGACAACAGGAATTCAGGGCTGAATAGCTGTTGGTACAGTAATTCAGATCAACAAGTTGATGTCGTTGTACATGTAGCTGCGAGCTATCCGGATATTGCGTGCCGCTCGTGTAAGGGCACCATGACATGCTGGCAGCAGCATGATGCTGCGCGGTATCGGCCGGCAAGCGCACGTTCATGACCACCGGAGAGGTGGAGCCGGGCATGAAGTACATGCTGCAAATGGACCAGATCAACACGGGATTTGCGCTGCCATACCTACGACATCACCAACACGCAGGGGGGGGGCTGCGCAAGCAGTGATCATCATTGAGCTGCTTAACGAGGAGGTCACCTTGATTCAAGGTCGAGGTGATCCACCACGGACTGCGCGGATCAAGCCGCTCGGCTACTCCGAGACTATGGGCTTTGTGTATCCGGCCGACCGGGAAGTCGCTGACATATTTGGTAGACCTGAGCACCGACGAGCAGTACAAGTACGAGGGCAAGCTGCCGCGCAGCATGGCGCACTTCCCGCGGCGAGTGAGCGAGTTCGTCGACATCTTTTTCCCCGCACGTCCAGTGAGCACTGAGGGTGCCGCATCAACGTTGACGGACTAGCTGAGAGTCTCGTGTTCGGAAGCATGGTCTACTAGGTGTGCGGATTCACTGCAGTGGTATGTGCATCTGGTGCTCGATCCTACTGGTGCTGATGAATCTGATGATCGAGGCGTGGTTCTTCCTGACGAGGTAGTATCACACGATTTCTATATCGCCAACAACATGCAGCATCGCCTTCTTGACCCTGATCTCTGGTCCTATTGGACGTCGCCATTACGGTGGCGCGGTTTACTGCGTTACTTGCCAGGGTCTGGCCCTACTGGGATGTCATTTGTGTAGCGCCCTCACACGCTAGTAGTGAACGAATATCGTGCTGACGAGTTCGACTTGCGCGTGTATGCCGGTATCAACTACTACATGCACGTCAACAAGAAGATGGACATCTACTATCTGTGGAGCAGGGATATTTGTTGAAAGTGACCGGGTTTGCATTAAGATGTTGGTCAAGACGACTCGGCCTACGCCACCATAGCAGCAACGTGCGAGGCGTTCCACACCCAAATGGTCTGAAGGACAGAATCCTCTTCAAAGATAGAAGTGACCGATCTGGCCATCCGAATGGGCAGATGTATATCCACTCAGACGCGACAACGATGCACTAGACAATCACGTTCCTCCTCCAGGACAGCAGCATCCTTAACAGCAAGAAAAACGACAAGCTGAACGAGTACATCAACCTGCTCGGAATGAAGGACATGGCGGACCAGATCGTTGATGGCAGCTGGCAGTTGAAGCGGCTGAAGGCTGGCGAGGAGTTTGAGGGTTAGTCTTCTCGGACGAGCCGACCCTGCGTCTACCTTACCCATGTTCGTCGCAACCAGATTTCTTCGGTCGACTTGCGTCATTCCCAATGCACCACGCAATAGCTCGCAGCTACATGTACAACGACATCAACTTGTTGATCTGAATTACTGTACCAACAGCTATTCAGCCCTGAATTCCTGTTGTCCCAATCTCACCTAACCAACGCAACAGGTATTCAGACCATGGCAACAGGAATTCAGTAGATTTGGGGATAACAGGTCATTTAGTATTTCTGCAACAGGTTTTAAGATTTTTCCAATGCGGGAAGTCTGTGGGATGATAGGTGCCAGCTGACTTGGCTGCACATGGACAGATCTTGAGCGCGGATGGGATCGTCGACATTGCTTCGACGAATCAGCCTCTGTGTTCTCTGAAATTTATTTCAGAGTAAAGGAGTGATTGGAATCCCTGGTCTGATTAATCCGGTAGCTCATACCTGACCAGCTGGATTCATCGGTATCAAGCAGTATAGGAAGGGTTTGATACAAATCGTCAGTCAAACTGCAGTACAGTGGAGTGAAAGAAGACGTATACCCCGACTAAGATGATATTTGAGGTGAATGTTACCTGTGGCGGCAGGTTGTGTGGAGCACCCCAAATAGCTACATTCGAGCAACCTAAGTTGGAATTTTGCGTTAACCGATCAGAATATAACGATAGAAAAATACATTACCGGGGTGGATGCATGGTCTTAACGCTAAACATCAGTCAATGCGCGTCTTTTGATGGACAGAGTACGACTTCACCGCTTCTCTATTATGATTGTTCTCTCACTTTCCATTTGGCGTTCTACCACTAAACCAAGCACTGAAACTTATCACTAACCGAACTTACTACCCGTTTTAGCGGTTAGCTACGACGGCGAATTGGAGCAGTAGCTAGCTACAGCGTTCGACGATTTCGTGAGGCACTACAAGTGCTATGGCAAGTCCATCATCAAGGCCACGGCCAACACGTTCGTGGGCTCCATCTTTCTACGCTCTTCACCAATGCGCAATGTGTTCACCCCTCCTGTTCTGAACCACGTCGTCATGAGACTGTGGCTTGGCGTGTTCTTCGCATCACGCCTTGCGAACACCACCATGCTACCCCACATGCACTTCTACATCGAGTTGATCGATATCCGACTGGCGGTGTCCAAGGCCGTGGACATCTCCAACCTCTTTTCGCGGATGTCGACAAAGTGCTGCGGTTTATTTATGATAGTCGGCTATCTACACCCGGTACTGCGGGGGTACGACCCATCAGGGTTGCTGCCTTTGCCGGACTCGCGTGCGTCTGCTATCAGGAATTTCGTGTACCTTGGTACGCTCGGCATTTTCGTGCTGTGGGACACTCCGTTGAGTGTCTCGGTCGCTCGCAGTGCATGCGCTTGTGTTAGAGAAGGAGCAGACTACGGCGATGTTTTACAGCAATCGCTCTCTTAACCCCATCCGTGACTCGCTGAAAGACTTGTACGTGTGAACTTCTTTTTCTTCTTGTTGGATCACGTCTCACAATTATATTTCTTGTATTTTATACTTTTATAAATTCAATGAGACCGAATAAATTTAGAAAGCTTCAAATTTCAGAGCTTCTTCGGGCCGCAGGCACGACTTTGTTTACAGTAAGCCTCCAAGTGCACGTGCTGTGTCACCATGGCTTCGACAGCGGACATACATGTACGTGCCAGCTCAACCGTTCAATACATACAGTATTCAAATGGTAGGCTCCACTACATGACATGATAGGCCCAGGGGTCGGACAATACAGTATGAAATTTATTGCGAGGCCAAAGCTGAAGTAGTAATAACGGTAATAATTGGTACAATATAAGTATATTGTACCATTCGTGACATGAGCTATCCATTGCCAAAATGTGACAGCAAGGTCGCAAACTCCATGCGAGCTTTACACAAACGTTCCATGGCTGATATCAAACTATCACTGAGGTGTCGAGCCAACCTATACAGTGAGAAAATATAGGTGGGGGCTGATGATGATTACAATAGCCCTGTACTGTTTCCAGGACGGCTTTGGGAAGTGTTGCTGACCGGTAAACCACTATTGAGTATACGCCGCTTGCTTCACAAAAGCCTCGCGACCCAAGGCTAATTTAGTTTGTGACCTCAACACGCAAAATAGAGGATTAGAAGAGTTTATTATAGTATTTTCATCATTTTTGAACGCTCAACCTCAGAATTCATAGTGTTTGGTATTGTATTGCTATTATTGGGGCAATATCATATTGTATTGGCTTCATGAACTTCCAGTAATAAATAATTGTAGTGGGGCAATACCATAATAATTGTTTTGATATTATTTTTTCCGACCCCCGAGAACGGCGGCTATCGGCAGCCTGCCGCTGCTAGTATCGACCCTCAGGTCTAGATCTAGATAATGTGGCAAAATGTGTTGTTCGCCGCCGCCGCCAGCTCCTCCGGCACGATTCGAGCCGCGCACGCGACCGGCATTAGTTTGTAGGCACTGCATACATGAAGTAGACCGGCCAACACCGCCGAGAACGGCGGCTATCGGCAGCCTGCCGCTGCTAGTATCGACCCTCAGGTCTAGATCTAGACAATGTGGCAAAATGTGTTGTTCGCGGCCGCCGCCAGCTCCGCCGGCACGATTCGAGTCGCGCACGCGACCGGCATTAGTTTGTAGGCACTGCATACATGAAGTTGAATGGCCAACACCGCCGAGAACGGCGGCTATCGGCAGCCTGCCGCTGCTAGTATCGACCCTCAGGTCTAGATCTAGACAATGTGGCAAAATGTGTTGTTCGCCGCCGCCGCCAGCTCCGCCGGCACGATTCGAGCCGCGCACGCGACCGGCATTAGTTTGTAGGCACTGCATACATGAAGTTGAACGGCCAACACCGCCGAGAACGGCGGCTATCGGCAGCCTGCCGCTGCTAGTATCGACCCTCAGGTCTAGATCTAGACAATGTGGCAAAATGTGTTGTTCGCGGCCGCCGCCAGCTCCGCCGGCACGATTCGAGTCGCGCACGCGACCGGCATTAGTTTGTAGGCACTGCATACATGAAGTTGAACGGCCAACACCGCCGAGAACGGCGGCTATCGGCAGCCTGCCGCTGCTAGTATCGACCCTCAGGTCTAGATCTAGACAATGTGGCAAAATGTGTTGTTCGCCGCCGCCGCCAGCTCCGCCGGCACGATTCGAGCCGCGCACGCGACCGGCATTAGTTTGTAGGCACTGCATACATGAAGTTGAACGGCCAACACCGCCGAGAACGGCGGCTATCGGCAGCCTGCCGCTGCTAGTATCGACCCTCAGGTCTAGATCTAGACAATGTGGCAAAATGTGTTGTTCGCGGCCGCCGCCAGCTCCGCCGGCACGATTCGAGTCGCGCACGCGACCGGCATTAGTTTGTAGGCACTGCATACATGAAGTTGAACGGCCAACACCGCCGAGAACGGCGGCTATCGGCAGCCTGCCGCTGCTAGTATCGACCCTCAGGTCTAGATCTAGACAATGTGGCAAAATGTGTTGTTCGCCGCCGCCGCCAGCTCCGCCGGCACGATTCGAGCCGCGCACGCGACCGGCATTAGTTTGTAGGCACTGCATACATGAAGTTGAACGGCCAACACCGCCGAGAACGGCGGCTATCGGCAGCCTGCCGCTGCTAGTATCGACCCTCAGGTCTAGATCTAGACAATGTGGCAAAATGTGTTGTTCGCGGCCGCCGCCAGCTCCGCCGGCACGATTCGAGTCGCGCACGCGACCGGCATTAGTTTGTAGGCACTGCATACATGAAGTTGAATGGCCAACACCGCCGAGAACGGCGGCTATCGGCAGCCTGCCGCTGCTAGTATCGACCCTCAGGTCTAGATCTAGATAATGTGGCAAAATGTGTTGTTCGCCGCCGCCGCCAGCTCCTCCGGCACGATTCGAGCCGCGCACGCGACCGGCATTAGTTTGTAGGCACTGCATACATGAAGTTGAACGGCCAACACCGCCGAGAACGGCGGCTATCGGCAGCCTGCCGCTGCTAGTATCGACCCTCAGGTCTAGATCTAGACAATGTGGCAAAATGTGTTGTTCGCGGCCGCCGCCAGCTCCGCCGGCACGATTCGAGTCGCGCACGCGACCGGCATTAGTTTGTAGGCACTGCATACATGAAGTTGAACGGCCAACACCGCCGAGAACGGCGGCTATCGGCAGCCTGCCGCTGCTAGTATCGACCCTCAGGTCTAGATCTAGACAATGTGGCAAAATGTGTTGTTCGCCGCCGCCGCCAGCTCCGCCGGCACGATTCGAGCCGCGCACGCGACCGGCATTAGTTTGTAGGCACTGCATACATGAAGTTGAACGGCCAACACCGCCGAGAACGGCGGCTATCGGCAGCCTGCCGCTGCTAGTATCGACCCTCAGGTCTAGATCTAGATAATGTGGCAAAATGTGTTGTTCGCGGCCGCCGCCAGCTCCGCCGGCAACGATTCGAGTCGCGCACGCGACCGGCATTAGTTTGTAGGCACTGCATACATGAAGTTGAACGGCCAACACCGCCGAGAACGGCGGCTATCGGCAGCCTGCCGCTGCTAGTATCGACCCTCAGGTCTAGATCTAGATAATGTGGCAAAATGTGTTGTTCGCGGCCGCCGCCAGCTCCGCCGGCACGCTTCGAGCCGCGCACGCGACCGGCATTAGTTTGTAGGCACTGCATACGTAAAGTAGAACGGCCAACACCGCCGAGAACGGCGGCTATCGGCAGCCTGCCGCTCAGGTCAGTCATCAAAGTTCTCTCCACCAAATCTCTCCGGAAATATCTGGACAGACGTTTCTTTGCTCAGGTCAGGCATTTAATCCACTCTCCACAAATCTCGCCGGAGAAGTCGCCCCTAACAGTGTCAAATAGGTCTCCGGAAAATAGTCTCATTCTCTAATTCTCCTCCAAGCATGTTCTTCCGCGACTTCGCCGAGTTCAGCCTCCTACGTAAGATGCCGCACTGGAAGACCCTTCGCGTCGTCGAGCGCGAGCCGCTGTCGCACTGCTGGGACCTACTTCGGGGTGTGCTGATTCAAGAGCGTCAGGACCCACCGACTGAGCGACTCCTGTTCGACATGTTCGAGTGCGTCTACCAGCTCCGCTGCGCTCGTTCAGCCGACGACAACGCGACGCTCCAAGAGCTCATGTGCCTCGCGTTCATGAGCATCAGCCATCCAGCCGACCCTCGAATGCCGCAGCTCGTCCATCAGCGCTCCGAGCTCGCCTCGTTCAGCAGCTTCTTCGCCGACAAGCCGGATGCTCCAGATCCGTGGGTCGCTGAGTGCGGGTGTCATGCGAGGGTCATCAACCGCCGTGGGCAGTGTCGCCACTCTGGGCGCACCATCGCGAAGATGAAGCTTGCGAAGGAGTTCCGTCTCCGCCCTAAAAAATAATGTATAAGCCGTAGCAACACTCCGTGAAGAATCACTAACAAACGCAACAAGCAAGCAATCATGTGTAATGGTATTACAAACTATGGAAGTATATGCAGACGCTCAGATGAATGGTGTTGGCAACATTTTTGTCAAAGCTCTCCTTATTTCTCGCCTACAAGATTAATTATTTCTAATTTCATTAAGAATCAAGGACTATCTTATCATTATCCTAAAAAGGATTCTCAAAACCTCGAGACTTTTCATAAAGTCTTTAGATCGTATGGTATATTTACTCAACCACTCAGCATGGCTTTGATGAAGCAATTAAGTTTCCATGTTGGTAAGCATAGTGTTCTCAACAATGAATTCAAAGATATAGTAGTATCAGCTAAACATAATAGAAATGAATAGATCCCAACGGCTTCATCATTTCTTCAAGCAGTCTGATGATCTATCAGATCATTATTCAAAATATAAAAAAATTATGAAGGATGTTCGACGAACATTCATTATTCAGTATATTTTTTTTAATATGAACGTAATGTTTTGTCTTCATTATAATATATAACACTTCGATTCTATTTCAGTCTTTAGTCATGCAGGGTTTTGAACTTAAAATTCCAGTTGGTAAACACAAGGGCGAATCGCTCTCAAGTATCATGGAAACCGATCCTCGATATTTTATCTGGCTGTCCAACAGACGTTCGTGAAAGGAGATCTTAAAGAAGCTATTGATAAAAACCTTGATAACGTCAAGTTGAATTTCGGTAAGCATATAGGGAAGACAATCGGAGAAATTGAAGCTCTCGAGCCATCGTATATTCAATGGCTACTTCGATAAATGATAGTATAATATAGAATGGATATCGTTTATATCGACATCCCGGAGTCTCCTCCAATCAGTAATCAGCTCATATACAGATGACGCCCCATTAGTTTTAAAAAAAGCAACGCCAATATCACACGATCCAGATAGATATAAGAACATGTGATTATAATTTTTTTCTGATCCGATCAACTTGCCGTGTAGTCGGTGACCTCGCCCGTCAGGCGGTTATATGTGAGCTCGTTCTCAAAAGCTACTAGAACAAGAAGATTCACACCTTGGGCAGAAGCATTGGTACCCATTACCTGAATCGATTGAGGTACGTCCTTTTCTGTAAGACGAGATACATCAGCAATCAAGACTCGGTTGGTTAGGGACCAAGTCTTCATATCAATGAGACCATTTTGAAGCTCTTCTGTTAGGTCGCCATTGATCGCACTCAGCTTCGAGAACTCATTGCAGAACGAGCTGAAGTCGTAATCACTGTTCAGATCGAATACTTGCTGGGATCCAATGCGTACGTTAAAATTTCGAATCGAGCTTCCTGGCTGAACCGTCCAAGGCGCAGAGTCGAAAGGCGATTGGAACTGCTGACATGTGGCTGAAGCGTAGTTGCCTGAAGATGTTTCAGCGAAGGGTAGTAGAACAACGTATTTGGCATTCTTCAGACTAGCAGATAGTTGTAGATCGAAAGCGGTGTTGTGCTGAGTACCATCGCCTTTCACACCGATTCCAGCTCGCTGATAGAACCACTGAGCGTAGAAATCGAGGTATCGAACCTTCTTTTCAGGTTTGGTGACGAGAGCTGAAGGGTTCTCCAGATCAAGGAAAGGAACGTATAGTCGAGTAGTCGTGAAAGGCATGTAGGTAGAATCGACGGTAGGCTCTAGCGAATTCGTGATGGCGCCCCAAGCCACGGTAATCTGGCCGGCAGCAGCAGGAAGTACTCCGTTGTTTGGGTTGGATGCGGCTGCAGACGAAACCATGATAGGACAAACATTACCACTTGCTAGCGTTACAGATGTAAGCGTCATATTCTTCGACGCGTCAGTTGTAATGAAAGCAGAGCCTTGATTGATTCGAAGTCTTAGTTTAATTTGGGGGTTGGCCATGAGATCCAGTTCCTCGAATATGGGGTGAAGATCAACCAGACGAATCTTTAGCATGTAGTTCCACGAACCAGCAATTGAACCAGCAGTTGCTGCGCCGGCTACGAACGCTCCGCGCCCCAATTGGTTGGCAATGGATGTGGCACTTACAGCAGGAATCGTTGGCCAACCAAACGTATTGAATGATCCACTTTGAGGCGGGTTGCATAGCAGTCGCTTAACAAAGCCGTCGTTGTAAGGTAACACACCTGTGGTTGCGGGATTAGCTGCAACATTCACACTATTATTCGAATATCCATCACCGTTCGCACCTGCAGCCGAGTTCCATACAAGTGAGCCAGATGAGTCGGGAAATAGGAAGGATTCAGACCCGTGCTTATCAACATAACCACTCGAGAATTCCGTCTGGGCTCGAATATTGTTGATGAAATTCTTGTAGTCAAGCATACTGATGATCTGTTTCCCATTAAGTTCGCAGCTCATGGAGTCAATTACATTCCAAATACCTGTCTTGAAACCTACCGACAAACGTTTAGCCGCTGCTCCCAAAGCCTGTGTAGCATGAGTATTTTTCAGGGAGACTTTGTACGGAATCACTAAATAGGCATCGCGAAGGCTTCCGAAGCCTTCTGCGCCATTCAATTGTGACGTCGCATCTAAAGTTACAACACCATTAGCATAGGAACCCTGATTTATATCAATTACATAGGGACATCGTTTTCGACTCGAGACACGAATATCCGGATCGCTCTTCAACGAACTCTGGTAAAGGAACTGATCACCTAATTGGGTAGTCATTTTTATATTTATTACCGATATAGTATTTGAAATAATTTAATAATGAACCTCCTCAAGCCTGTTACCAGCGATAGTGATTTGATAAAACTAGCTGATGTAGTAGGGGTGAGAATCGATGCGATTTATGACAATTTAGAAATTAATACTCCGCTTCCAAAGTCAGGGTCATACCTTATACTCTTACGTAAAACAGCTGATATTGGTCACTGGGTGGCGTTGCATAATGGATTCTACTTCGATTCAATGGGAGAGGCTCCTCCGACTCAGTATGGAATTCAAAAATACAATGAGGTGCAATATCAGAGTACATATGGTGACTATTGCGGAATCTGGTGTCTACTCAAAACAGAAAAATCGACCAAGACTTCTAACAGGGTTTCACGATTTAAATATCAAAGTATTATGAGTTCAATAATATAACATTTCTATCATGTATAAAGAACTTGAGGTTTCGAGTGACATCCCTGAATCCAAGCTACATCGTGCTTTCAAAAATGGAGTGCTCACACTATCTGCTACTCATTTGAAGGGTAAAGGTGCTACTCTTCATTTACATCCTGAATCGTATGCGAGAGCTCTTAAAGCTCGCAAAGCCGGAAAAGGTACACGCCTTCAAATCACTCGCAAAGAGATTGGTTATCCATTCAAGCATTTGAATGGAGGTGGAATTCACGGCGGATCTATTTGGGGTAAGATATGGGGCGGAATCAAAAAAGCATTTAATTGGGCCAAGGATTCAGGAGTCCTTAGCAAAGCCGCTGACGCTTTAGCGGTTACAGCAACACCGTATGTTGGAGGTCCTGGGAATGCAGCGATGGGGAGATCAGCACTGAAAAGTCTAACTGGTATTGGAGTTGATGCTGAAGGTGGCAAAATCCAACTTAAAGATGTAAAGAAACGCGGAAAGCAGGCCGTCAAATACATGAAAGATAAGGGAATCCTTACTGATATCGCTGATCAAGCTGAAAAATATCTATTAAGCAAAGCAACTAAGCCTGAACATGAAGATGTAAATCGTACTGTGCGTGGCGAAGTGAAGAAGCGATATGGAGTTGGCTTGAAGGGAACGGAACAATCCAAGCAGCGCATGGCTCTTGTCCGCGCTGCCCGCGGGAAAAAAGGCGGTTCATTCACTCTTGGCTAGATTCATCATTGAGCCAATCAAACTCCTCTAAACCCAGCTTTAGGACTCTATCCGGATGGTAACAGTATTCAATAATTTCTCGATTGAGTTCCTTTCGGGATGAAAAAATCAGTTCATAATCATGTGTGAATATGTTTGGGTTGATCCAAACCAGTTCTGAGTATTCTGTCTCAATCCATTTATCTGGATTTGCAATGAGATAGTCAATGGCTGCTGGATTTGTTATAAAATAGTTCCATCTCACGTGCTTTAAATCCTCGACAACAAAATCTACCATTGCTGGATTTGCAGATACCCCATGCCAGTCTATTTTTTCAGGATGACAAATTAGAAATGTCTTGGCATCTGGACGCTGACATACTCCAATCCAGTCGATTTCTGGTGATTGTAGTTGTCAAGTACTAACTGCAAAGCCCGAGGATTCTTGTTACGAGATAGCCAAAACCAGTCAATACGGTCTTGATGTGCTTCGAGTAAATCAATAGCCTTGTCGTGTGAATTATAACTAAATCGTTCCACATTCTGTTCGCTGAAAAATAGTGCAATTGCGATATCAATAATACCGCTATTCATCATCATGTACTCTTTTGATAATTCAGGGTAACGAAACAACCATAGACCTCGAATAATGTTTGCACATGACGGATTTCTGCATAACAACTCCCAATCAATAGCATTACAATTTGCTGCAAAAATCTTTGTGACAAGGGGCTCTATATCCGGGTGTTGATTGAAAAGCAGCCCACTGGTTAGGGATATGTAGTAATCTTCGTAGCTTGCGAATTCTCTGGGGTCATAATCTTCGTCATCGTAATCATTTTCATCTCCATGATAATAAAGCTTGAAACATTCTGTGATAATATTAATAGCAGAAGAATTTGCAACGAGAGCTTCTCTTCCAAAATGCCAGAAACCTTCACGAAGATCTGTATAATCATAGAAGTCTCGTTTTAGTAAGAAGCCAGCTGCTCGATTTTGACATAAACGAACTAAAACTCTTGGAATATCTTTGAAGAATGGTCGCAAAACGAAGAAATCCGTATTCTGGTGATCGTAATTGACATCCATTATTGAATGCTCGATGATCTTGAATGCTGATGTTGAATGCTCAATGATATTGAATGCTGATGTTGAATCAACTTGGAGAAAGAGAAGTGATGAGTATTTTTTTTTCCGCTTATATCTATTTATAGTAAGCTCGATTTAAATGCGTCTAGCTCAGCTTTCAGCTCCTGAACAGCTTTAATCAGAATTGGAATCAGCTGCGTGTATTCAAGAGCAAGCATTATAGGGCTTTCTTCACGATCATTTTCCTCTCCACTCATGCTAATACATTCAGGGGCAATTGGGAGAACCTCTTGAGCAATCAGTCCAAGGTTGTGTCCTTCTTGAGGACTATGAATCAATTTATATCTCACTGGATTGAACTGCATAATCGTATCCAATCCATATTCAATTGCCGAGATGTCAGTCTTTAGACGTAAATCTGAAAAAGTGTTCCAACTGCCTGCATACATTGAAGCACCGGCTCCCGAGCTTGACCATTGCATGCAAACTTGATTTGCATCAGGAGACGAGAGGTACGTCGCTAAACCAATTCGCGTTCGATTTCCGGTTCCATCGTGAGGACCAATACCGATTTCATTAGAGCTGTCAGCTGCAACCGTTTGGGATGACCACATGTATTTAGGATTTTGACCATACGCACTATAGGATATCGAGTCGGCGAAATGTCCGTGCGAACGCGAACCCCTATTAACCGCTAATTGCCAGTATATATTCGAATCTTGAGTTGTCGTTTCCGTAATAGCTCCGATCTTAATGGTCAAATTTTTATAAATACCCATGATAGACCTTCGGACTCCTGATGTTGTACCATCGGTAAATAGATAGCTGTATGTTGTGCTAGATACACCCGTTTGATTCGTTTCGAAAAGCATCTTTCCGCCTCCTCGTGCTGAGCTCACAATCAATTGCGAATCACTTGTAGAATAGAGACTTGCGTTGATATCCTTCGTAGCGACGTTTCTTGCGAGAATGAGTCGACTTCCGTCATCAATTACTACGTCGCCCGATTGGACGCTGACGTCACCGCTTGTCAGTGTGAGTTGCCCTCCCATATCTAACGTAGAGCGTAGTTAGTGCAATTCAGTATTGTTGTATCAAGTTGAGAGTTTGAAGTTATACCATTGCATGTCAACCCTCCTGATATGGTGAGATTGCCTTATTAGATAAAATCATCTTATAGGCAGAGTTATTGTACCAATAACATGAATTGGGGTTTGTACTGTTCGTAGAAGATCGCGTTCCCACCTCCCATTTGCTTGAAGTAGCATCTCCATTGAAATATATGGTCGATTTACTGTTAGATGATGTGTTGGTTAATACAATCATGTTATCCGTTCCTGTAAGCGTCAGACTTGCTCCAGTCAGTGCAGATGGTAAAGTTCCCGTGATTGCAACTCCATTTACGGTTAGACTATTCATTGACATTGAATTGATTCCAGCGATGTTGCTTGATACATCGAGAACTAGTGCTTTTGATGGTGATGCGGTTCCAGCGGTGACTTCAGTTAGGAATCCTAGATTTGTGAAATCTAGAACTGCCCCCGAGAGCTTATACAAAACTGAATCTAGTGTTCCGCATGTGATCTGATTTAGACCATTAATGCTTAAACTACCATCTGGAACTAAGGACACACCTTGAACCGCATATCCGGCTGTGACACCGGTGATGTAACTCAAACGAAAGTCGTTTTTACTGAGGTATAGCGTCTGGGCATATGCATATGTGAGCAATTTGTCTTCTCGGAGTGATAAGAAAAACGCTGGGTTGTAAGTACTTGAAGTGAAGATAGGCTGTGGATAACTGAATCCGCTCATCTTTTTTGTAGTAGTCTATATTAGTTTTAAGATCTTATCATTAAATACCGATTAGAATGTGCAGCTCAAGAGACGGCGTAGCACTCCGAGAACGCTGCACCCAAACGCGGCTTACTACTAGTATATAATGGACAATACAGCCCGTTTCTATCCGCTATCAATATGGGCCTTATTGTCCACTTTCTACTAGTAGTAAGCCGCGTTTGGACGCAGCGTTCTCGGAGCGCTACGCCGTCTCTTGAGCTGCACATCCCGATCGGCAATTTACAAATAAAAACTGCTAGAATTGAAAATGTATCGATTATAATATATAATAAGCTATGAGACATTGGTGGATTTACAAACAACAGCTTTACCATGAAGCCAAGCAAAACAATCTGCCTGTTCGATGGACATCAAAAGTCAAACTACTTGAAGATATCGTGGTAAAACACAGATCGGAGAATTCCCACGTTAATAAAATTGTACGAGCCTATGATTCATTTCAATTACGCAAAATTAACGCGTATGAAACAATCCAACTACGGACAAACAAATTAAATCGAATGCTACCAAAGATCAAAGTCTCAAGCGATAAGTATCTATGGATTACTCTATACAACCACAATGAAAAAAATGTGAAGTCCATCAAATACACTCATAACCTTGCCTCACTACCGAAACAACTGTATATCCAAGAAAATGCAACCCTAAATTATGACGATGATGTAGATTTGGATCTAACCTACGTTTCTTTTGCCAAACTTGAATGGATCAATGAACCAAAGTGTCACAAACAAAAGTCGTCTGAGTTCTTTCGATATGTCACACTCGAAAATTACAAACTCGAAGAGTTCCAAGTATATTTTCAACAAATCACAGATTCAGATACAAATCGTGATGTACCGTGCTTCCTGCACGCTCTTAAAATAGCAGGATTATCTACGGATGTAATCGATGGTATTTCAAGTGAGATGTACACTACTGGAGCATCACATCAATTCATTAGACGAATGGCTACTAATCATGGTATTTGCATAATGCTGACGACTTACAGTGAAGATACGACACGATATCGTAATAATACAAAACCCTTTGGCGATACATCCAATCCAATTTATGAAATTGGATGCGTTGGTCAACATTTATTTGCCATCAAACCAACCTCAGTAACCAGACACGCATTATTTCATCCTGAATTCAGTTCCCACAAAAACTTCCCATCAATTCGAATCAAAAATGATAGAGTAACGAAAGATCCGCCTACTTCAACATTAGACAGCATGCAAGTAATCAGTTATTTGTATTTCAACCGATCTACGAGACTCGATCCAGTAACACTGACAAATGCGCCTAACCTACTCAACAGCAACTATGCTCAAATCAAGTCGCTTTCACAATCGGCATTTGATGAGCGTTATTTCACAGAAATTGGAAGCAAACCACGTTACGGACAATGTCCATTTATATCGAAAGACGGGCCTTTGTCATATAACGTAATCTATTTCGATATAGAGACTTTCCCGTCAGCAGAAGGCACCTTGATTCCAAGATGTATAGCATGGAGTGATCCGACAACCCTACTAAAAAACAAGATATATGGATTAGACTGTATTCCTCAGTTTCTTGAATATCTACGCAAAAACGGAGAACGATTCCTTCTCTGGGCTCATAACCTTGGATTTGACAACCGTTTCATCATTGAATATATAACACAATTCAACCATGGCTTCATCGAAACAGGCAATCAGATTAAACAACTGAAATACAAATACAAGAATGTTAGTCTTTGTTTCAAAGATACGCTATCCTTCATACATGACAGTTTATCGAATTTTCCAAAAATGTTCCCAACTGCAGTGGATGGAATAGTCCTAGAAAAAGGAAAATTCCCACATAACGCAATTACACACGAAAACTTCGATAAGCCAATTGCGCTTTCAGAAATTAAGGCTTCTGTAATTGAAGACGGATACGCAAATATCAGCGAGAAAGATCGAGACAAGTTCAAGGACGAGGTGGAAACGAAAGCCTTGTTTCAACTCAATCAAATAATTGACAATGCCAAGCAAATTGATGCGATTCAAAACGATCAGCTGGACAATGTTAAGTATACGTTGCATTATTGCATGACGGATGTTGAAGTTATGATGCATTGCTTCGAAGCATTTAGAAAATTAATACTTGACAGGTTCAAGCTTGACGTATATAACTTCATATCAATACCTAGTATGTCAAATACTATTTTGCATAACGAGGGCTGCTTTAAGGGATGTTACAACCTCAGCGGCCCGTGTCTTATGTTCGCACGAGAAGCCATTGTGGGCGGAAGAGTCATGACGAGGGAAAATAAAAAATGGCACTTCAAATCGCAAAACGAAGTGGACATAAAAGCCCTCAACAACAATAGTATGTATCCCGCTGTCCAATTGCACTTCACAATGCAAAACGGAGTGTATATAAACGCACTCGACGTCATCAGTTTGTATCCCGCTGCTCAATGCAGAATTAAAGGCCTGACAAAAGGGATCCCAAAGCGATTTACTGAAACAATTCCAAAACAGGCCACTGATTACATTGTACGAGTACGGGTTATTGATGTTAAAAAGCGCTTTACGTTTCCACTTCAGTCAATTAAAAATGAAATGGGATGTCGAATTTTCACAAATGAGATGATAGGTCAGACGATTGTCCTTGGAAAAGTTGCCCTAGAAGATTTCCAAAAATTTCAACATGCGGAAGTTGAAATTATTGAGGGGATGTACTGGGATAACGGATTCAATCCACAGATCAAGAAGACAATTCATTCACTGTTTTACGAACGTAACAAGTTGAAAAAGCAAAAGAACCCGCTTCAAGCCGTTCTCAAACTTGTCATGAATAGTAGCTATGGAAAACTAATTCAGAAGCCTATTTTGAAGACGAAGAGGTTCATTCGAGGAGAAGAGCAAGTCAGAAAATACGTATTGAAAAATATATGTAAGTTGATCCGAAGGGTTACCATAACCCCAAATATTTCGCTATTTGAAGAACGGAAGAGTTTGAGTAGTTATAGCTCCCCAGCGCACCTAGGTGTGCAAATTCTAGAATGTCAAAACGAATCATGAACGAGCCAATGTGCCTTGCAGAGGATATTGGAGCGATGATTTATTACCAAGACACTGACAGTATGCATATTGAAACAACGAAGTTGAAAATTTTGGAGGACGAGTATCGAAAGTTGTACAACCGCGAGCTAATGGATGAGGAGGAGCTGGGAAAGTTCAACGGAGATTTTAAAATCAAAGAGGACGGGGATTCAGTGGCTATAGAAAGCTACTATCTTGGTAAGAAGAGCTATCTTGATGTTTTACGAAGCAAGGACGGAGAGACGGCAATTCAAACTCGGATGAAAGGAGTACCACGAGCTTGCATTACAAATCCACTTGAGCGATACAAGCGATTATTTGATGGCAAAGCCGAGTCTTTTGATCTGACAAAAGCCTGTCCAATCTCTATCAACAACAAAACTCAAACGGTGTCAAAGCGCGGTGAATTTATTCGTACGGTCAAGTTTGTTTGAGTTCATCTAATATACGAGCAAGATGTTTCCTAACTTTAGAAACACAGCCGATCGCATTCAAAAGGAACAGGATTTGCTTTCAAAGGTCGAACGTCGGAACAGACAAAATACTATCAAGCGTAACCTATATGCCGAAGCTCTTTGGGCTGCCGATGCTGGCAAGGTAGTCAAAGCGCCACAATCAAGCGATACCACACAATCGAGTGAGACACAGGATTCAACATCCATGACTCAGATTGATCCAAAAAAAAAGTCCTTAGTATGAATGAAGGTGTTATTCATGCAAAGTCGGATGAGGAAAATAGCGCTGTACAGCCACCCGACATAACCCCAAGCACTACTCTTTCGCTTGATCTGAACGCTCCTACTACATCGAATGCTTCACATGAGCTGATTAAAGAGTGGTTTCACTCCCATCCTGAATTAATTAATCTACGAATATCACCGGTCAGAAAAGATGGATCAATTGAAGAGCGATATGTATTAGGAGTCGATGGGTACTTGTATTCAGTCAGATCCGGTCGGAAAGTAAGACCACAAAACATTGACTGGGTAGCGACGAGAAATCAAGTTATGGACACTTCCAACGAGCAAACGCAGACACAAACAAACAATACTATAGATTGGATACGAAACTGGTATATTGCTCACCCAGAATGGGTCTCTATGAAAGTTCGCCCTATCAATCGGGTTGGTACAACAAGTAAGAAATACTACTTTGGAACAAACGGTGTTCTTTTTGACCTGAGAACTGGAGAGCGTGCTCAGGATATTGACTACGATTCACCTGAGGCGATTGATTGGGCAGCAACTGCAAACCATATCAAACACATATACTCCGATGGGGAGAGCAATTCGATTGATGAGTTGGCTATGATGCGGATGGTGGATACCCCAACACCTTTACAGCAAGCGAATCTGCCTCCACTTCAGCAAGCAGCTTTACTACAGCTCCCTCTTCAGCAGTCAACATCACCTTCTCTTCAGCAGCCGGTTTTATAACAGCCTGTCCCTTCACTCTCATATGACGAAACACAAGCTCTACTTGACGCTGCTACGGATCAGGAAGATACTCGTGATTGGGTAACTCAATGGATGAGCGAGCATCCTGATCAAGAAATTCAACCCGTAGTCAGTCATACAAGACCTGACGACATCGATTGGGTGGCTACACAAGAAACCATTTTATCACGATCCTCTTCTGGTTTGACGATGGAAGAGTTGTTGAATCGATTAGACGAGCAGGCTCAAGCTTTCATGTCAGCAGAACCTGCCTTTGTTGAAGTGGTCGATCACACAGCCACTGAACTAAGACAAGCAGACTTAGAGAGTGAATTATCCGATACATCAACTTCACCGACTCCAGACGAGCAGCGTCGTCGCCGTCGTCATCGTATCCAGATCGAGGGGGCTGTGGAGAGATTGAGGGAGGCTCGTGCAGCTAAATCCCGTGCTAAACGGAATGAATTCGTACAGCAGACGCGCCGTGAGCTGACACAGCTGTTAAATGAGATGAGAGAGAACCTTATAATGAGAGCGAACGACTTCGATGTTCCCAACCCTCCAACCCGTAGTCGATTTACAAGAAAACAGTGGTTACAACGTTCACTTCGACAGGCGTTGACAAAAATAAGTGCTCGTGGCTTCGGAACACTTAACAGATCAGAGAGACTGAAGACACTGGAGACAGCCATCTCTTGCTTACGCGAGCTCAAAGACGACATGCCGTCCGACGTATATCGAAGTCACTATCAAGTGATATCCAGAGCGTTTTCTAGACAAAGCGCGACCGCAATGACAGGTCGTCGCGACCGAAATACTTCTCGCACAGAGGAATTACTTATGGGGGCACCTACTCCTTCGCTTCCAAGCTAGGTAGTGCTTACAGAAACTACCTCAAGAGCCAAGTTGCTTGATATAGCCAATACCCGTTCAACTGTCCATATGCTAGCAAGCGCGGGCATTCACATAGTACCTGTCAAACACGACGGCTCCGAGATCTCGAATATGATCATTCGCGCGCCGCTGAGAAAGCGAGGCGACCTCCAATTTATTATCCCATCCGAGTCACAGCGATCTAAACCATCATACGAGAGACAGATCAGTTTTGTGAAAACCTACGAGCGCTTAATGCGTTTAGCATCGGAGGCAAGCATCTCTCTAGCTGGATCTGGACTGAACAGTCACCTGACGGGGCGTGGTCTACGTGGTGCAGGGGTATATCAGAACGTCGAGCGTCGATCGAAATACTACAACCTTAACGATATTCGAGGTACAGGTCTAGCGAGTGCATACATATATCAACCGATCGGGAGTAAATACATCCGGATCCCCGACCTCGACAATAACCAGCTGAACATCGTATATCCTAGCCGCAAGAAGCTCGGACCTCTCCGACCGATTAGCAACGAGATCAAGAAAATGGTTAAGGACCTGATTTACGACGGCACGCTGAGTCAAGCTGCTTACGATAATCTCTCACATGATGACAAACGTCTCTTCAAGGAGATACTTCAAGCAACCCATATCCAACACAGCTTCAAGGACTCTCTTTCCGATCCACTTGATGATCTGAGAGCCGAGTACGACAAGCTCAAAGGAGAAGTGATGCTAGGGAATACCAACCCATCAGTAGTCACGCAACTGAAGTCTTTAATTGTCGACATGTATGCTAATCGATTAATTAAAGAGTCAGAGTTTCGGGAGGTTATCTCCAGTCTGATATAGAAACATGATCGTCCTCAACACGTCCATCATTAATAAGCCAGGAGGTCTATATGCCTTCAGAGCTCAAGAAAATCTAGCAGAGCTCAAGCAGATCATGAAAAACATCGTGATCAAACACCCTGAGCGCTCCGAAACGATTTGGGCGAGTGATAAACCACCACTTGCAACACCTTCAACCAAAGGTGGAAACGTTTGGGCCCATACGGGTGTATATCGACGAAACTACGTAGCAAAGGGCAAAGCAAAAGAGAAGGTCAAGATATTCGCACTATAGTTTCCCAGTCGAATGCCACATACTTTTGTCTTAACTAATATACACCCAAAGATGAGCGGAGTGATTCCAGACTATGGGAGTTCCATACCTAAGAAGTATCGACAAGGGAGTGTCGGAGAGATCCCCACTCTAGGTATCAAAACACTCTTTAGAATGATCCTGCTTGGTCCTTCATTTTCTGGCAAAAACAACCTGTGCATGTTTATTCTGAAGCACTCTCCTCACGTCTTTAGCCACCTGCATATCATAGCACGCAACCCACATCAGGAACTTTACGAGTATCTACGCAACGAGCTGGAGGGATTCATCACATTCTACGACGAACCGCCAAGCGTCGATACTATCCGCAGCACTCCATTGAAGAAGCCGGAGCTCGTCATAATCGACGACTACAGTAACGATCGCAACCTTCAGCGGAATGTCTTCAGCCACTACTTTACGCGAGGGCGTCATTTCAAACTGTCAACCATATTCCTGAGCCACAGCTACTTCGCAACCGACAAGATGATCCGCTTGAACGCAGAGTACGTTGCAATCCTCAAGGCCAACAGCAAACGAGATCTACAGATGATCGTCAAGGACTTCAACATCCCAGGCGTAAATGAATCAACCATCCTCACTCTATACAATCGGGCTACCGCCAACAAAGGTCAGATGCTGTTTGTCGACAGCGTTCGAAGTCAGCTGAGATTCAATTTTAACAAAGTGATTCAACTATCAGAAGACTAATATAGAGCAAGCCATGTCTTCCTTTCTCAAGATCGACTCAACCAACTTGGTTTCGAACGGCCTCAACAATAGCTGGCGGTATGACTTCGTAGGATCGTCCGTCAATTTTCAGGACGTCGAGGTGGCTATCCAAAGCATTTCGCTTTACAACAGCCAATTCAATATCGATTCAGGTGCTTTCGCGAACACAAGTTTCAAACTAGAGGTTCCAACTGGAGCAACCGTTTCAATTCTGAATGTGTCGCTACCGGATGGTTACTACAGTTACGCCGATATCAATCGAGTCATCCAAACAACACTCGTGAACGCTGGAGCATACCTGATCAACTCAACAGGCGACAACGTATTCTACATTCAACTTGAGGAGAACAGCACGTATTACTCATGCCAACTGGATGTTTCGCCGACTCCAACGTCTCTACCCGTTGGATACACTCTCCCTGCAACCGGATTGTATAGCACTGGAGGTGGTCTGCCTACAACGACTCGAACCCCTCGTTTGATCATTGACAACGCCGCATTTGGATCGGTACTTGGTCTCACACTTGGGACATATCCCACTTCAACTACGACAACTTCAACCAGTATCCTGAGCAACACCATTCCACAGATTCACCCGAGCAGCTCGTATATCGTTCGGTGCGATCTGGTGAAGAATAACTACGTAGTCAGCGGTGACATCCTTGCTGCATTTGACAGAGGCGATGCTTCTATTGGACAGCTTATAACATATGCTCCATCTCAGTATGCATGGATGAACACCCACAACGGTGCGAGAAACTCAATTACAATCACAATCTACGATCAGAATGACCGTCCGATCCATTTTCGCGATCTCTCTGTATCCATAATGCTATTGTTTCGACCCAAGAAATCATTGCTTTAAACCAATATTTATTGTTAAACTTGACCATTGTATTGGGTGCTTCAGTTTTTTTTTTTTAATACTGACCCGACGATAGCATTCTCTTTGCTTTCTATACAAACTCGATGTTCGGCTGTCCATTACTGATTATCAAATTATCACAGTGACGATAACGAGAAGTCAAACTAATTGATTTGCAGGCTCTACTCAATTCAATTCAGACTTGGGGACAATTCAAATAATCGTGGCAGTTGAAGCATAGTTGAACCAAGTGTTTCTAATGCAATTCACAACTCATAGTGAAACAGAGACATTCAAACCACCGAGCCAGCACTCACCCCTCCTTTTCCGACCGCGCAGACACCACACCGCGCGCCACACGCAGCAGAGCACCGAGCAGACACCACGCAGAGCACCGCGCAGACACCACACCGAGCAGAGTACCGAGCGCCACACGCAGACACCACCAGCTACAGACACCATGCAGACACCACCAGATGCAGACACCGCGCAGACACCACCAGATGCAGACATCGCGCAAACCATATCCATTGAGACGCTACAGGCGCAGCTCAGCACAGCGCTCGAGAGCCTCGCATATGAGAGAGCTGCTCGTGTGCGTCTCGAGGCGTCGCTGGAACGCCAAGCGAACGAGCATCGTGCAGCGCTCCAGCGCCAAGCGAACGAGCATCGTGCAGCGCTCGAGCGCCTGGGAAATGCTCACCGTACTCAGATTGATAGTCTGGTGAGGGAGCACCGCGCTGCGATGCAAGCTGAGACGCGCGCGTGGCGAGAGAAGATCGCGACACGCATGTTGTCATTTGGAGACGCTTGGTGAGTCGCTAAGGCACACAGCGGCTCACCAGAAGCGACACAAGCGTGAGAAGGGGACGACAGCGCCGACTCCTCCACTAGAGCATTACTACATGCTCACCAAGTTCGGCGGAGAAGACGACGCATCTCAGGATGGCGACATCCTCATCCGCTGCACCTCCGGCCAGCGTCATTACTGTGATCGCGAGGAGTGTCGACTCATCGCAAGCGGCGGTGAGGTGATCGAGAAGCGTCTGACTGGGAACGGCATCGACCTACGGCGATACGTGGCAGGACGGATCGAGCAGCGGATCATCGACCAACTGGACGAAGAGCACAAGAGCAAGGTGAGATCTCTTGACGGGATGTTGTGTTGTTTTTCATGGTTTATTGACTGACTCTTAGAAGCCCAGCCGCGCCAGGAACGACCCTACTGCACTCCAATCTACTGGCGATGGATCTCAGGGACCAACCTCACCTTCGAAGCCTTCGTCGAGCTCATCCATACGGTCATCCGTGAGTTCAACCAGGTCCCAGAGCGAGTCAAGGTGGACGCGTTTACTCGGCAAGAGATCGAGGATCGACTCTTCCTCAAGTTCGTCGATCTGTTCGCAGACCACGGAGACACGGACGACGACGCAGGCAGCGACACAGACACTGATGATCAAGAAACTCCGTAGATAAGACGGCGAATACATGTATTTGCCCCGCTACTTCTCGTCCTGCTCATCCTGCTTGTCCGCCACGCTTTCGTCCTGCTGATCCGCCACACTCTCGTCCTGCACGTCGTCCTGCATGTCGTCGTCCTGCTGCATGTCCTGCTGCATATCGTCCTGCATGTCGTCGTCCTGCATGTCGTCGTCCTGCGCGTCGGCCTGCTTCTTCTTCTTCTGCTGCTTCTCACGCTTGTCGAGCAGCGGCTTGATCAGACGCTTGTACTCGCTAACGGCTGACTGGGAGTAGCCAATCTCCAAGCCAATGACCTTCTCCGGTAGGTTGGTTGTCCGGAGGTTCTTCAGAAGAAGGTCCGTCGTCATCCCTTCTGCCTTGCGGCTTTTCTTCCGCTTCTCCTTCTGGGCTTCGGCATCTTGGTAGCGCTTCTTCTGTTCATCTTTGGTGAGGATGACCTTCTCCATCGCGAGGATCTCATCGACGCGGGCGCTTGGGATCTTGAACTCGCGGCTGTACTTGTGCACGTGTAGATCGCCGCGGAGAACATCGCCGCCGACGTATACCGCGCTGTCTGGCTTCTTACTCGCCTTGGCCGCGCGAGGACGCTTGGTTGTAGTCGTCTGCTCGACACTATCACTCCGTATGCGTTTCGAGTGCTGCAGAGGCGAACCAAGGCGAGTGGAGCGTCGTGGCGAAGGCGATCCGATACGGCTGGAGCGCCGCGGAGGTGGTGAACCCGCTGACGCTGCTGGCTCCGTCGTTGCTGACTCCGTCGTTGTTGACGCTGCTGCTGACACGCTGGAGTCCGCTGCTGCCGAGTCTTCAACTAACTCGAAACGTCCTTGAAACGGACCCTTCATCCGCGCGGCCCACTGTTTTTTGAAGAGCTCGGCAGCAGAGGCGGTGTACAGGTCGTCTTCGGAGTCGGAGTCTTCGATCTGAAGTCCGATCTTCTTCAGTCGCATTCCAAGACGGTCTTTCAGCTCGTCGACTCCCCGCTGGGTCTCCGCCGCGCGCTCTTCATTCTTCTGATAGCGCAGTCGATACAGCGGTTCGGTCTCGCGGTGCACTGGGGCGTCGTCGGCACTGTTGCCGCTGTCATCGTCGGGGTAGAAGGTGCTGTCGTTGCTGTCGTCGTCGGAGGTGGACTTGCGCATGGAGGGGGCGGAGGTGGACTTGCGCGTGGCGACGGCGGCGGAGACGGACTTGCGCGTGGTGACTTCGGGCTTGCGCGTGGTGCCTGCATCGTTACCATTGTCGGCACTGTTGCTCCCGTCGTTGCTCCCGTCGTTGCTCGCTCTGGTTGCGCGCTTCCAGTCGTCTTTGTAACTCGACGCCTCCGACGCCCATCGCTTCAGGTTGCTCTGGTCCTGCTTCTTCAGCCAGGTGCTGTACCAGGAGCGCGCACACTTTGTAGAGATCCCTGTGATCTTCTCTACCAGCTCGAATGATGCTGGAGAAGGGAGCGATCGCAGCTTGTGGACGTGTCGGAGCATGGCGTCCTTCTCTTCCTTGAGCTGCTTCCTGCCACCGTAAAGCCACGCGCCGCGCTTCTCATTCAGCGCAGCAAGCTTGCGGTAGTCATCGCGGGCCTTTGTCGTATCGACAGTGCTCTCAGTCGTCTGAGACAGCCACAGCTGACGGAGCGCCTCCGGATCGGCGTTGGGCGATAGGAGTAGATCGAGCGCCTTCGCTAGCGCCGCCGCCGTCGGGAAGAGCAGTCGAAGCTCTGGGTAGAAGGATCGTAGCGTGGTGGCAGCGTCGACGATCCGCGTGAAGTCCATTGTCGGTGCTTTTTTGAAATATGGTCTCCAATGTTGGCTTCTGAGAGTAGACCGTTTGCACAATCCATGAGATTCCCCGGGTGCACGTTTTGTCGCTCGTCATGAACTCATGCGCTTGGAGAGGATTTCTTCAAGGTGGTGATCTGCGCTGCGTCAGCGAATGGCAAGCCCCCCAAGAACATTTCACCATCTCCCTTCAAGCAATCAATCTTGTCTCCACAAATCTCTCCGGAGACATATGGACAGAAGGTTCTGATCAGGTCAGGCAATCAATCCACTCTCCACAAATCTCTCCGGAGATATTCGGACAGACGTTTCTTTACTCAGGTCAGGCATTCAATCGACTCTCCGGAGATATTTTAGCTATTTTCCATATTAAAATATAAAATCTATGCATCGAAACATCATAGTCTCGCCCAAAGTAGCTCTGGAATTCGAGGTCCTCTAAATATTTATTAGTAGCCTCATTCGTACCAGAAAGGCGAAGGCAGGGTCGGAAAATATGACGCTACAAGATATGTGCATTCGTTAGGAAAAAATAAGTGGTAAGAAGCGAACAAGAGATGAAAGCTCCAACGATTTTGCTCAACATTTCAGTTATGTTGGCGACAGAAATAAAGTGAAAAATATCGATTATGTGCCGAACGAGGCCCATTCTACATAAAGATCGGGGAACATTGACAATGAAACTGGAATTCGAAGAAGCACAAAAAGTTGGCGACGACTTGATCATTTCTACTGGGCTATGTAGGATCGGTCGAAACAGTAGTGTGCTGGTTTCCGCTGTGTGGAATCGATCAAAGTACACGATGCTCTCCGCGTGCGACTGGGCTGCAGCGCGCAAGGTTTCTCGAGCCGATCGCGACAGACGATTGAAGACGTCGTACTTTGACAGAAGCAGCACCTCTGCTGGAGTACTCGCGCTCACGGTCACTTCACAATGAATCACCTCGTTGAAATTCGCCCCCGCAGTGCTACAGTTAACGCACAACCCCGCCAATTAGCACACAACGTGTAGATAGTATTGTCAAACGTACTACGTACGCGTCATCGCCGACCACCCGGAAGCGACCGATACGCTCAACGAACACCTCGTGTCTCACTTGGGTAAACGGATCTGCGATTCCCTTCGTGCGACGCCATCGATGCTGCCGCCAATGGCAGCTACGACGCGGTGCAATGGGCGCGCGACCACGGAGTCCTCTCAACTAAGTCGGACCGAATCACGGAACGGGGACGCAACCCACGAGATGGCTATAACTTCCCGGTGCCGGAGGCTAACCGCGAGAGCCACGTCTTCTACGTTGCGCGCGCCGCCGCAGTCAACCGACACCCGGAGATCGTGGAGCTGCTGCTGCCGGACCTAAGGCTGGTGGAGGACTATTCTGACCTGCTGCTGAGGTCGACGCGCAGCAATACGCCGCTGCTGACGGAGCTGATTCTCGAGAGGTGCGAGGTTAATAGGTAAGGCGCTGTGCGTGGCCGTCAGCCATGAAGACCTGTGGCACGTGAACATCCTGCTGTGCCACGTGGAGTTGCGGAGCGTCACTGCCGTGTACGACAAAATGCGCTCGCGTGGTTCTTACGTACTTGCTCGGCTCGAGCAGTTCTTCGACGACACGATCGTCCTGGCGAGCAGAAATGGAGAGCTTCCTGTCGTTGAAGCGCTGCGCGAGTATGCCAGTTACATCGCCCTCACGGAAAGCTTTTTCGAAGCTGTTCGCTGGTACTCACTGGTCCGCGACCACCGGGAAATCGTGCGTCTGCTCGCAAGCAATATCAGCGCAGAGGCGTTGGTTCAAGCGATCACCCGATGCGTCTCGCCCAGTCGTGCTGGAATGGACGCTGTGCGCGTGCTCTCGAATCAGCTGATGCTGGCCATCAACGAGTTCGCGGCATCCGTCATCGACGAAGACCCCCGCGGGTTTGTTATCAATCCCGTGCTTGATGAAGAAATCATCGAAGCGGGCAGAACTGGGGCGATTCAAACGGTCCGCGCGCTAAAGAAGGATGCCAGCGCTAGTGCCCGCAATGACTGCTTCTGAAGAACAGTCCTCGCCGACCCGCCACACCGAGGCAACGAGTATTCAGTCAACGACAAGGTTTAACGGAGGTATTGACGTGGTGCGGAAGCATCGTTGAGAATGATGAGATCACCGTCTCCATCCAGCTGTATCAAGATGAATTCTAGCGCCCGATCACTAAACGACTATCGAGAGAGAGCGTCGTGGCAGGGATCAACCCGTTATCGTCATTACCGCCGCAAAAGCGGAGGCTGAGCAGCAGGACGTCGCTGCAGTCGATGCTAGTACGGGGAGAAATCGTCGGTGAGGCTGTGCGCTTTGTGGATCCGGCCGTGGAAGGTCCTTGCACGGCCGTGTTGAGCCTTTCGCTGAACGGTATCAACTACACTTCGACTCAGAGCCCGTTGCAGTTTACGTGTTATGTAGAGCCGATTCTGCGTCGGATTAACCCAGGGTGGGATGCGATGGAAGGAGCCAATGATGCGCTGGCGCTGGAAGATGGAGCACACCCGAGACTTCGGCTGTCAATTGCTGGTTCGCTTCACCCTCCAGGACGAGAAAGAACCAGATGAGAACGGCATTGTGGTTGACGCGCAGTTCACCCCTAACTCTGCAACTTCTGCAACAGGAGATGGCGCGTTGCAGTGCGTGTTCCCAGCCGCGCTTCCAGGGTTCTACGAGCTCGAGGTGAGTCTGAACGGGCATCGCCGTCCTGCAGCCTGCCATGAAGCACGCCGTGTTGAGAGCTCACTTGTCATTTTTTACTTCTGCCAACCAGTAAGAACGCCAAGCTACAACCGTCTCCTCAAAACACCGTGAAGATCTCCGCGTCAGCTTTGATCGGGTTCGGGGCTCTTCTCCACGTTGCTGAAGTTTCGGCTCAAGCGTTCGCAGCTCCAGCCTCGGTGGCGATCTGCCTGTCGTTGGGCCATCGGATGCACCCGTGTCGAACGAGACCATCTCCAGCCCTCAAGCCTCTTCGGCAGCAGGGACTCCGTCCACCCCCATCGTCGGTGGTGGTGGCAATTCATCGATGCTTGGAGCCTCGGAACCGCCGAGCTACCTGGTTGAGCACACGGACGCCATGAGTCCTCCCAAGTACCTGGATTCGTCGGTGATCAAGAACTGGGCCATCCCGACCAACAACTGTAGGGCAAAATCATCGCGCACGACTCGAACGCGGCCATCCAGCCTATCTGGCCGAACCCGTACTCGCTGCAGATGGTGGTCGACAACGCACCCTTCGGCATGTCCGTGAGCTACCCGTATCGCAACCGCTTCAGCGGCAGCAGCTCCGGAAACAACGGCGCCGTCAAGTTCTACGCGCACGGCCAGGTCCGCGAGTTCATGTTTTCTGCCGTCGAGATGCAGCAGAAGCCCAACTTCCAAGTCGTGGACTGGGCCGATCAAGGTGTGACCGTCAAGTTTTCGGCCACCTCGTGTCGGACCTCGTGTCAGGCATGGTGTACACGTCCATGAAGTACTCGGGGCTCACCCCGCGCCTCGTGTCGAGTGCTGCGACCTCCAGCGTCAACGGCCAGCCGCTTGGTGGACAAGTGCGCGGCTCCAAGTTCGTGATCGCGTACAACTCCGGCCAGAAGTGGGTGATCTACGCACTCTCGAGCGACGGTCGCAGTGAGCAGGAGATCACTCTGACTGCTGACGGCAACATTGCACTCAAGAGCACTGCACCGTTCGACTTGGCAACGACTCCTGGCTGAGCACAAGTCCTGCGTCGTGCAGGCCGCCACCGTGGATCTGCACGACGACAGCTCCTACGCGTTCAAGTGGAAGACTGCTCCGTTGGTCTGCTGCACTTCGCGATGAAGCACCAGGTCGAGTCCATCGACACGAGCGCCGGGGCCCGCAAGGTGGACGGCATGATTGCGTACTCGACGACTCGCGGGGCGTAACAGGCTTTCACGACGCCGGGCGGCTCGGCCGACCCTGTGTGGGAGATCAAGGAGACCCAGCCCGTACCCGAAGACTTCTACCCGGCCCGCAAGATCGCGTTTGCCGTGGCTCAGCAGCAGCGCGTCCTCGACCACCTGCGCGAAGACATCAACGCCGCGTGGTCCATTCCGCTTGACGGCAGCTACTACTTCAACGGCAAGGCTGCCCAGAAGTACGCCTCCTTGTGCTTGATCGCGAACGACGCGGTCGTCGTAAGAGCCTGCTGAACACGTGCCTGACCAAACTGCGCGGCGTGATGACGCCCTTTGTGTCCAATAGCTGGGCCAACAAGCTCCAGTACAACTAGATCTACGGCGGCATCGTGAGCTCGCAGGGCTTGAAGACCAAGGACCTTAACTCGGACTTCGGCAACACCATGTACAACGACCACCACTTCCACTACGGCTACTGGGTCCACGCGGCGGCCATCATCAACCGCCTCGACCCGACCTGGAGCGAGATCGGTGGCCAACCTGCTCGTGCGCGACGTGGCCAACTACGACCCGGAGGACAAGTTCTTCACGCGCTTCCGCTTTTCGAATGGTTCCGCGGCCACTCGTACTCGCACGGCGTGACCACGTTCGCCGAGGGCAAGGACCAGGAGAGCACGTCGGAGGACGTCAACTTCGCCTTCGGCATGTACATGTTCGGCAAGGCGACCAACAACGCGGCGCTTGAGGCCGTCGGCAAGCTCATGACGCGCGTCAACGCTCACGCCATCAAGGCGTACTTCCTCATCGAGGACGCCAACCAGATCCACCCGACCAACTTCCGCCTCAACAAGGTCACGGGCATCTTCTTCGACAACAAGGTGGACTACGCCACGTGGTTCAGCGCCTAGAAGCACTGCATCCACGGCATCCAGATGATCCCCGTGTCGGCCGTCAACGAGTTCGTGCGCACTAAGCAGTTCGTCAAGGAGGAGTGGGAGCAGGTGCTGAACAAGGAGACGATCGTCACGCGCGAGGACACGTGGCTCTCGCTGCTGTACGCCAGCTTCGCCATGGTGGACAAGCAGCGCGCGCTGGGTGTGCTGCAGAAGGCCAAGATGGACGACGGCCTCTCGCGCTCCTGGGCGCTCTACATGGCCGCCAGCTTCGCCGAGTGAGTGAGCGAGCCCATTGCCGGTCAAAGAACCCGCCGCTTGTTGTGAAGACCATCGGAAGGCTTCCGACAAGCTTAGACCATCTTGCCAGGAGTGACACGTAATAGAGCTCAACACGAGGAATCATAAAACTAAATCTGCTTCAAATTGACTAGATTTGCTGTGCCAAAAGTGATACCTTTCCATCCAATTCATGTAAGTACTTCGGGTCACCTTGAATCCATCCAACCGCACCAAATATCATGCATAACTTGAACCGATACTTCCGGTCGGCCACTGCATTGGGCTTAATTAAACCCAAGCATACTTTTCGTTGCAGAACCAGTGAGGAAGAGCTGTCGTCTTGCTATCGTCCACATTTCCGCGGCGAAACACCATGGCATTCGACAGCGAGAGCTTGCGTTCCGCCACTTCAATCTCAACGAGACTGCGGACGTCGTCGCGCAGCAAACCAGACGGCGGGTCCCAAATCACGACCTTCTTGAGCTTGAGCTTGCGCCCTTCTTGCATCGCCGCGTCCAGCAGAACGCGTATGATCTCAGCAGCATTGTCACCGGAATCGGGGAACCGCACCCGATCCACGTACAGCGTCGACTCCTTCAGGTTGTGCCACCAGAGCACGAAGGCGTCGTCGTTAATCCTGACACCGCAACGTGATGGCAGCTCGTCAAAGCCCGCAGCCCGCGCATAGTGCACGCCGTTAACGAACTGCCATTCAATTGAGTCGCGGGTCGGCAGGATCAAGAACGCGTTACGCCCTTGAAACTTCTCGCTATTAGCCAGCGCGTCCACCAGGCGGGCGTTATCAGCTTCCAGGAACTTGTCCAGCTTATCATCCAGTACCAATGACTTGAGCTCAGTGCTGCTGTTGTTGTTGTCGACAGCCTTGGTGTTGCGAGGGTGGTCAATCTCCAGTGTAGCCAACTTGGACGGGTGGCACTTCCAGCCGAGCTTGTCGTAGAATGTCGGTCCGACGTCCGAGTAGAGCACAGAGATGAGAGCTTGGGGCAGCTGCTCCAGCTGCTTGGCCACTTCGGTTAGGAAGAAACCCGCAAGACCGCGCTTCCGGAACTCCGGGAGCGTGTAGACCGAGCTGATTTGGTACGAGAAGCCTCGCTCGGTCTCCCCGAGCTTCGACGGTAGACGCAGGGGAACCGAAGGGTCTTGCAATGACAGCAGAGCAGGTCTCGACCGGCTACTACCCCCGAATCACTTGAGGTTTGGGGATTCTCCTCAGTTTTATCCACGAGGGCCCAGAAGAGAGCTCCATCCTGGGAGAAGCGAGTGGCGCGCTGCGCTTCACCTTTCTTCTACCATTGCTGCACGTCGAGCAGCGGAGACCCCCAGTGCTCATGGTCGTCGGTCTTGCACTGCACCTTGAGCGCCTCCTGTGTCAACTGCACCACGCGGAACTGGGACATCGTCGAAATGGGGGGGATCCCAGTAAAGTACAATCCACAAGCTGGTGGAGAGGAGAGCAGCAAGCAATGGACGGTGCGGCGGCGTTTGTAGGCGACGGGAACTACGTGGGCGATGGCGGGGAGCTACTGCAGCGTTTGTGGTACGGAGCGGGAGTGTGTATGTTGATAGAGGTGACATTGTTTAATTGGCTTGCTTGTTGTAGTAGGGACTTCGCGCCGTGGAAGGTGATCCGGAGCTGTCCTGGCCGATACATTATCAAGCACAAGAAGCAAGCGCCGTTCTTGGTGAACGGAGACTGCCATTGACTTCGTCCGGAAAGCATTGGCCAGTTCTGGTGGCGAGGTGCCTCCTACTTTCGTTGTGAGTCCACGATGCGTTGACCGAGTCAAAGTTGTGGTGATCGGGGGAGGGGGGGGGGAGTGGCGGCGGCGTTATCACCTACTGCAAACAAGAATCGGAGGAAGGACAAGATGGAGCGGCTGTCTACGTCCACACGCTCAACACGGCGTCGGGGCTGCGCAGAAAGCTTGGAGGCTTGCAGATCGACCACGTCCTGACAACTGAGGCTCGAAATGGTAGACATACTGTAGATAAGCATACTTTTGAGTATTACCAACAGTTATCGTTGGTTGCGGAACTCGGCGAGCGTTTGCTGAAATGTTTGCATGGACTGCTGGGCTTGGAGCACCGCCTGTTGGTCTCTGTAGTTAGCTAGCTGCGCGATTTTGCGAGAGCGATCGTTAGTCCACTTTTTATAAAGCAGACTCTGGGCATGACGAGGTGGTCGATGGTACTCAGCAGGTTGCTGGCCTATAGTTGAATGTGCAATGATCCAAGAACCATCGGTCGACGCATTCCCGTCTGCTTCGAGTTGTACGCAGGGGTTTGTTGTGCTCGAGCGATCAGCTCGTTCACTAACGCAGTCGAGTCAAAGATCGTCGGCTCTTGGTTGGAGTCCATTCTATTATCTTTGGCACGATTTTCGTCGCTGAAGGATGATGCCGTTGTTGGGTCAAGGAGCTCCTGCTTCGACCCTGGACTCGTACATCGCTGCAGCTATCTCCGAGGATTTCGCAGCGAATAGCTGCTGCAGTTGTCGTAATTCTTCCTCTTCTTCAGCGTTTTCCCACCAGCACTGCATACCTCCATCTCCCTCAGAGCTGCCCTGAGTTTCACACAAGGAAAACCAGTTAGATGGTAGTACACAGTTTAGCGTTCAACGCGGTACCATACTTCGTGGAAGCGATATTGATCTTGGATATCCCGCGCCATTTGCTGCTTGATAGCCTCCAAAGCAGCGACGTTCGAGGGTCTCGATGAAGTTTTAAGGGTGTCCAGTTCGCGCAGAGGCTCTGTTGGTCGGTCTGAATCCTCCATGCAAAAATAGGCGCTCATGCGGCGAGTTGGCCGCATGCGGCGAAGTCGCCGCACGAGAGTGAGTAGGGGTTGCACGCCGCAGCACCAATCAGAGTGCTCTTATTGACTCACCTGCTGGTACAGTACCCTATCAGACAACAGCCGACAAGACGTCAATTTGACTCCTTGACTGCCAAAGAAGTCAACCTTGTATTTTAGCTTCTACTCGAGGTGTTCGGGCCGCTGGTGCTAGCGGACGCCAACACAAAGGGGGCCCGCTACTCTATCCGGCCTACATGTACACGATTTCGTGTTATTATTGAGTGCATCGTACAGAACGTGTAATGTTACATCTATTTCGAAGTAGATACATGTTGCAGGTAGTGGAAACTACCTTTAGATGTAGAACCCCCACCGCCGGGAAGCGTGTACTACGTCTACCTGCTCTTTAGCAGGCGTAGATCAACATGCACTAGCGTATCGCCCTACGTGTGGAAGTTATGTATCAGCCAATATACATGTAGTCATAACATGCATCGGTTGACGGAGTCGTGTGCGTGAGAGTTAAATGTTATCGTGTACCGTGAGGTAAAAACTAATAGCTGCGACTGCTGCCGACAGTTACCAGCACGTGCATACCATATATAGGGGCCAAACAATTCGGCTGCAGTGCCTATGGAGATGATTGTTGTT